TACCAAAATAAGCACTTTACAAACTGTAGATGTCTCTCTTTTCTATTGCAGCTACTGCTTTGTTAAAAAGAGATAAAACTGTTATTGACAAGTGTGTGTCGATATTATAGATATTTGTATAACAATTTATTTCTTTAGTGGAATATGTCCTCTCCATAGGTATATATCTCTATGCAAATACGCAAATATAATGGCCACACATAATCGGGCTCATAAGCGCGTGAACTGTCCTTATTATAACCTCTTAATAAGTGATTATTTAGGTACCCACGGGAAATGAATTGGGACAAAGAAACAGTCGCCTAGTTCTTGGTCGTTTTTTTATCACTTTGTATTTTTACGCATAACATATAATAGTAACATGCCTTCAAATAATAAAATCCAGCTGCAAGTGCAACGTCCATTTTGTAGGTACAACTACTTTCTGCTAGGAAACATGTTTAATTTTTTGGTATTTGGCTCCATGTGTAGACGACTGTATCGCTTATTTGCCCGTACGTCAAATTTTTGCAAATACGGCAACATGCAATCACAAATACAAATAGCCATGTGGAGTGCTACCATCAGTATCAAGTGATAATAACTTACACAATTTAACACACTGACCTCTTTATATGGACTGATTGGACTGGCTAGTGGCTATACACCTGTGACATAATGATGCGATTTGATTTTCGCCATTTTGGCGCTGTGAGCAAAAGTGGACGTCCACGGAACCAATAATAGAGATAAGACAGTGTGAAAAAATATATCGATAAAAATTCTATACCCAGGCCTACCCATAACGTCCATTCTATTTATGTATCATATTAATATAATGCCATACAATAAATAAATGTATCAGTTAATATCTACGCCTTAGACGCAAGCTTTAAGAAAAGGCAAGAATGGATTATGTTGATTTGCACCTACTAAAAATCCATGATGTTCCATTTTCACCACACATTGACAGGGCCACGGATACGCTTTTAGTTGAGGACTCCCCTCCCCAACTTCCCGAGTTCGATACGTGGAAGCCATGGAGCCAAGAAAAAACGAGCACTCGGAAGAACTAAGGGGTACAGTCTCAGAGTCGCCACTTTGGGCCAGCCCTTCACTTCGGGCCAGCCAGAATCACCCTACGATTACCATGGGTTACCAAGCCACGGCTTCACGGCCTCGTCATAATTTCGCGGTTCCAATATAAAATTCCCTTTCTACAATAAATTGGTCATAATAATTATACAGATTTAACAAACTTACGTCTTGTAAACACAAAGTCATCATCAGGTGACCTTTCTACACTTGGCTATGGTCCTTGAGTCTGGGGGACAATAAAGAGAGAAGAAATAAAAAATATTCGAAATAATTATCTAATACTTTTATACTTACTGCTACTGGTCCTACCCGAAACTATTGTGGGTATACTGCACTTTTTCAAAGTAGTGCGTTTCTCATGTCCAATAAAACAGTCGTCTTTGAAGTGTTTAGGACAAAGATAATCATTTACTTTCGGACGCCAATTAACAATTTTTGTGCTTTATAGCCATAATATTAGTCTAGATTCAGTTGGAAACCTGTTAATTAATAAACATTTGATAATTATCTGTTGTCGGCGACTTTGGTTGTGAACAGATATCGGTAGACAGGAACATCGATAAGTATTATAGACAAGGAATTCGACAACCCTATTTGATTTTATTGTTTATCAAAACTCATTAAGGGGCTACTCCATGCGAACGACCTTGAGCATTTGACCGCTTGCTACAATATTAATATATTGTAGCGAGCGGCTCGCCGGAAGAAATATGTAAGACGCCACCTATTGTACGAAAGTAGTATTATTTTTTCAACATCAATAAACTATTTTATGGAAATACACATAGCGTACAAAGATAAATGTATTTTAATTTTTTTATTCTGTATATATTAGTTGCATTATATTAGAATTATGTATTTTCATATATTATCTAATTATGAAATTTTATAATTAATTATATATTAAAACTGAAGCATTGAAAATTGTGAGTTTAAAAGATACCTATTCACTATAGGTAAATAAATAGATAGCTCGGCTTTTGTACAAATATTTGGTGCAATAAAAAATAAATAAATAAATAGGATGTTTCGCATATGTGTTTTTGATTATTGTTAATTTTTACGTGTCACGTATTGAAAAGTTACCTACTAATTTTTGAACTTATGCTGGCAGATATTATCCTCACCCCAATGATTGATGAGGATGAAAATCAATTTTATTTCTACATACGTAATTATATTTATTTATACATAAGGGTAACTTTAATAAAGGTAATACAAAAATCAACAAGAAGTATAAGGGTTCAATCTTTCAATTTCAGTTGTAAAAAAACGTTACCCCCACACTAGGATTTTCTCCTGTGTCGTGGAGGCAGTTTACAAACATAAATTGCACAAAGACAAACATCCAGACCCGGAACAATTATTTGTAGGCCATACAAATACTTGTTCCATGCGGGATTCGAACCCGCGGCCCCCAGCGCAACAACTGATTGCTAAGCCACTGCGCCACCATGAAGCTAATACAAAGACTAACTTTGTATTTGCTTCATGGTCGCCGGGTTATAGCTAAAGTGACCATACGTCCCGTTTTGAACGGGACTGTCCCTTTTCTCGGTCTCCTGTCCCATTGTCCCCAAACAAAGCTCCGGGACACAAAATTGTCATGTAACTAGTTGGATGGAAGTATTCAAAGTCAACAATCTTCAACATAATTTTTTTTAATCGAATATATTTTATGTCTACCTGGTACGAATGCTCCGGTAGAAAGAGTATTTTTTTATTTTGCATAAATTGTGGACGTCTGAAAGAAACACTTACGGTTCCAGAGTTCTAAAGGCGATGTTGTTAACAAAGATAACAATAAAAAACTTGAGCAGAATTTTATTCTTATTTAAAATCATCACCAACTTTATTAAAGCAAATTTAATCCACTGACAAATGTAATTAATAATTAAAAAAAATATGTTGCATTTAATAATTACCGTCTATACCGAATATAATTTTATAGTGAACACTAATTGTATAAAGTTATAGTTTTTAGAGTATAAATAAACCCATGTCCTGTTATGAGTTAAAAAATAAATGGTCAGTTTAGTCTTTTTAGTTAAATTTAGTTTTAAAATTTTTTAGTTTATAGTAAAAAGTAGGTATATTAGTACTTTTTACCGAATTATAAGTATAGAACACCTTATGTACTCAATTATTTTTTGAAAAAGAAGAAAAAACAAGCAATAAATAATATACTATATTTTAGCAAAAAACTATAACTTAGTAATACTAATTATAACTTAGAACATAAATGAAAAACTCATAACTGACTTTTTGGCCCGACCCAGGATTCGAACCCGGGACCTCATGATCAGCAGTCGCACTACTACAACCACTAGACCAACGAGGCAGTACTATACCTGATAAGATATTGTGGTTGGGTGATAATATTGAATTAGCCTTTTATAGTGTAAATTATAATATTTGTCGAAATTTTAATTATAGATTCGAACCTTACATGCTAATGGTGCTTCATTTTTTTATTTGCATTTACTTCAAAGAAAATACACGCAAAAAGCTTCATCGCGCAGTAAAAAACACAACAAATATATGTATAACTAATACGAAAAATTATACCCAAAACAAACAAATAATACTACCTATAAATAACCTAATAAGTAATATTATTTATCGACTGATATTACGTGAGTGTATGCGGCGCTGGTCGACGCTCTAACGACACGGGCTTCGCGTCGAAGAGCTCAGGGCTCAATGACTCCAGCAAGCCCGTGAGCAGTGAATATGCCCAGATTTTAAAATAATTTCTTAATAAAATCAAATTTTGGTCTTTTGAAAAAAAATTTACTATAGAAATGTTCATTAATAAATTGCCTATCCATTGGTGTAAATCGCAAAATAAAATAATACTTACTTTACGAGGAGATGCATGTTATCAATAATAATTTCACATTTATGTGGTTTCGTTGTAAGGAGATTATATTAATATTTATTCCTTTAAAAAAAAATTGGATATAGCTTTTATGGAATCAAGATTATGTAGAAATATAATGTGTTTTTTATTTGTTGATATATCTTTTAAATAAAAAGTAGATAGCTTCTAAAAACCGCCCAAATAACGACTAGCGCGACATTTTGCTCAACCTGCGCCTTAATATAAAGCCAACATGTTGGTAACTACTATATTAAGATTAGTAAAAAATTTCTAAATACCTAAATTATCAAATAGTTTTAATTTGCTTAATATTAGCTGCAAATTCACATACTTGTGAATGTTATGCCGCGTTCCTTTTGGTAACAAGTTTTACATATTACGCACACTCATTATTACTAAAAATAAACGCCGCGGCCTAGTGATTTTTACGTGAAAAAGTTGTGTATAGTATTTTTTTTTTAAGTTCTAATAAAAAGTTTCTTGGGATATATGCCTTCCGAGTTCGACGACCAAACGACGACCTGCTACGTCATGGCTTGGCTGATAGAAAGCTGACTTTTCACCTCGTGGTGTAACTCGGATTCAAACTATTTCACCCTATTAGGGGTTAAATTTCCAAAATTCCTTTCATAGTGTATGCCTACGTTTTAAAAGGCAGCTACTCTCCGAATTTCAAATTTCTACATCAAGCCGTTTGGGCTGTGTTGTGTCTGTATCAATCAGCCACTCAGAACATCCTCTGTATCTAAAATAAGATAAGATTAAAATTTCTAATGGGTTTACAGTTACAAATATTTTTAATATTAATCGAAAACAAATACTTGATTTTAATTTTAATCGAAAACAAATAATTTTTACCAAATAGTATGTAACTTTTGAAATTCCTATTTCCATATCCATAGACAATAAATTGCCGACAGCCTGATTCCAACACTTGTGGACTTTGACATTTTTATTTTGAACTGATTTCAAAAGTTGAAACTGATTGACCTTCCTATCACTTTTTTTGCTTTAAATTATACTATATTATATAGACAACATGTCTGATAAAAGTAGCCCCGTAAAGTATTTTTTAAGTGGTGGTTTTGGAGGAGTATGTACTGTTTTAGCCGGTCATCCAATGGATACAATTAAAGTGAGATTACAAACGATGCCTCTTCCTCAACCAGGGGAAACAGCCCTGTATAAAGGTACATGGGATTGCTTTAAAAAGACCGTACAAAATGAAGGTTTTCGAGGACTCTACAAGGGAATGTCCGCGCCTTTAACAGGGGTAGCACCTATCTTTGCTATAAGTTTCTTTGGTTTTGGTCTAGGCAAAAAATTGATCAAATCAGATGATAATCAAGTTCTTACAAAGCCAGAACTATTTGCCGCAGGTGCATTTTCTGGAGTGTTCACCACTTCCATTATGGCACCAGGTGAAAGGATTAAGTGCTTACTTCAAATCCAACAGGGTGGTAATATGCCAAAAAAGTACAATGGCATGCTTGACTGTGCCAGGAAGTTATATGCAGAAGGTGGAATTAGGAGTATTTATAAGGGCAGCATTGCAACTATATTACGAGATGTACCAGCCAGTGGTATGTATTTCATGACCTATGAATGGATTAAGGAAGTTCTTGTACCAGAAGATGCCAGCAATAAATTGAAGATGATGGCAACTATTGTTGCTGGTGGTTGTGCTGGAATAGCTAACTGGCTGGTGGGCATGCCAGCTGATGTACTAAAGAGCAGGCTTCAGACTGCCCCGGAAGGAACATATCCAAATGGTATGAGAGATGTGTTCAAACAGCTTATGGAAAAAGAAGGTCCAACTGCTTTGTATAAAGGAGTAACTCCTGTGATGATCAGAGCCTTTCCGGCCAATGCTGCATGTTTTGTTGGATTTGAGTTTGCAATAAAGTTCCTTGACTGGGTTGCACCAAATCTCTGATCAATATCAATGCCTATAGACAGAACTGTATAGTTTCATATGGTTAGTTTTCTATAAGTTGAAGTGAATTTGTCTCTTAAACACCATAGTTGTAATCAATTTAATAAAGCAATGATTTTTTACAATTCTGTAAGCCCATATATTTTACATGACAATGTTCCAGTGGATTATATAAATAATGTAAATAAATATTGTGTATAATATATTATATTTTTAATAAGTAATTGTAAGAACCTAATTTCATCAACAAACTGTAAATAATGATAAAAAAAAATCAAGAAATTGTTTGTTGGATATACTTTATATTTTAGTAACTTGTTATGTATCTGCCTCAATTGTTTAAATCAAATGCAGACACAATTTGTTTTCTATGCTGGAAGTTGTGAAATAGAATATTTAATAATGTGAAAGTTCAGTGCCTTAGAATAAAGAACTATTTTACTCCTGAGTTTTTTTTTTGAAAAGCAACAATGAATTGATATTGTATTGTCATAAGAATGATCCAATAGTATCAAGCTTAGGAAATAAATCATCAAATCTGTTGTTATGAATGTTTAGTTAGATATAAATAGAGATGTGCAAGTACTTGTTTATAATTTGGTTTTCCATAAATTTGATAATTCTTTTTCTATTTGAAAGCTGGTGCTTCTCATGTGGTCCCATATAAATTTGATGAAGATTTGACCAGTACTTTTTGAGTTATCCTTAATAATGCCTATTTAATTGACTTCGACTACATTGATGATGTTCTCATTTTATTTATACTGAAGTTGGTTGTACAAAATTTTTAATTTTACCACTTGTTTTGATAATATTGCCATATACTGAAATAGACCTAAACACGAATACTATGTCTACATGTGAAACCATTGAAGTATTATGTGCTAAAAAGACACCAAGATTTGTTTGCAACATGTGTTAGAGTCCATGGGTTCTAATTAAATTAATCTGTGCCTGTGCTGCAAGGTGACATGTTTGAGGACCAAAAAAGCCTAATAAAAATGCTTTCATTCACACTGACATGCTCTGTTAGTCGAGAAAAAAAACGAGTTTAATGTAAATTCAAGAAAAACAACTTCCTTCTGCGTGAATCCCATATCTCTGGTGCCCTTTGACCTACAGGACCCAAATTCAAACTCGACCGAGCTACTACCTCAAGGTATCCACATACCAAATTTAAAGTCAATCGGTCCAGTGGAACGGAAGTTATCGTGTCGGCATACAGACTAACAGACTGCCAGCTAAAACCATTAATTTCCTTTCAATGCTACGCAGAAGGAAGTTAATAAGGCCAAGGAGTGACCTATTGGACTTAAAAAAATTGTTTTAGGAATAATTGTGATACAAAATAAATAACAGACAACTGCATACCAAATATAAATAAGGTAAATATTTGATACCACTAAAATGCAATGCTTTATTTTACATTCTATGTTAAAATATTGTATTGCATTTTAAGGCATTTTTTTTCTCTATACCCAGCATCACAAAAAACCTGTTATTTTACTATGTTTCCTTACAGTATGCATTATGCACAATATAATTTTCAACCTTTGAGAACTATGTCCCATTTTTAACTCCAGCATGCCCCACACTGTTGGGTAACTTATTCTAATCTAAATATATTTGTAAATAAAATGCTATCTTAATGATCTTTGTAAAACATGTATTTTATTATTATATTTTACATATTTAAATAAAAATATCTTTAAAATGTAATTGTGGCATATTACTAAGTAATAACATATTAAATTACCTATGCAAAATAAAGTACAAATTGTACTTGTTATAATTAACATACAATCAAAATAAACAATAATTACATACTGATTATAATACATAAGTGCTATTATAAAAGTACTTCAATGCATAAAACAATGTTTTATAAACAATTAATAGCATCCCGTAAGCAATTAGTGGCCATATAACAAGCACGTGGTTATTGACTGATAGTTATGTTGTGTAATGACACAAAAGAGCATCCACTTTTCTGTATTATTATTGCATGGATGTGGTAAGAGGCAACAGAGGGAAAAAAATATCATATAATAAAAGAAAAAAAAGAGGAAAATGAAACAACAGATGATGGCAGCATTTTCCTGATAAAAACTCAAAATTATGGTAAAACAGTGGTTGCAAAACTGCCTGGCTAACGCAGCAACTATAGCAAATATGAAGGATTTTGAGGTTATCTATCGAGACTCTCCTGTAGAATGCTGCACATATGATCTATGTTCAGCAGTGGACTTATCATATGTTTGTAATAAATGAGATCAATGTATGATAGACTGATTACAGATGAAAACAAGGTAGTGCTAGTGGGGAGGCTCTTACTGCGCTTGTAAGCATGTTAAAACTTCAATGTCATGCCTCAAAGCTGCTTATGCACTGAACTGAGTACTTCGGCTAAATTTTCGGTTTCACAAACATTAAACTATGTAATACTCTGTACTCAACCCATCTCTAATATCAAAGAAATTATTGGCACTGCATCGTAAAGTCTTTTGATATTTTGATACAAATATAGATGATTAATAAAACTGCCTTCTAAAATTTATTTCCATTTGTCTATTTTTGTCATAATCTTTTGTACAAAAATTCTTTAGCTTTGATCCTACTGCAATAATATCTTTTTCTTTGACCCTCTTTTTATGACCAAGACCAGTCTTGTCATTTTTCTGTACTGCTTTAATTGGGTATTTCTTTCCAGACCCATCTGGTCCCAAGCCAACATCCTTATTCCAACCTCCTTTTAACATGATCTGATAACCTTTATTTGACTCTGGTATAACATAATTAGTATGGATTTTTTTACCTTTACTTGCATTTAAGTTGTGCAATGTTGATGACAGGTGCTGCTTTTTATCCCAAAACGTATTATTGCAAATATTACAAACATAATCCTCTTCTAGCTCTAATATTTGGGATTCCTTTTCTTCACTTTCATCTTTTACAATAGTTCTATAACTAAGCAGAAGATCAGCAATCGCAAAATTTTTATTTTTTATAACTAAACTTCGAGCCGAATTGCCTGCTTTATCTCTTATTGAAATATCAATACCACGTTTGAGAAGCTCTTTAACAATTTCAACAGCATTAGCCTGACATGCTATCATAAGTAAACTCCAGCCATAATCATCTAAAATATTTAACTTATTTGGAAAAGCATCAAGTATTTGTGTTAGTTTACTCATATCATTGTTTTGTACTGAAAGAAATAATTCCTTTTCACAAAATTCTATCAGACTTATTTTTCTTTTACGGTATATTTCATTATATCTAGGGCTTTCACATTTTGCTGGTACAGGGTCTTTTACTTCAATTACCTCCTCTAAGTATAAATTTTTAGCTTCCGTTCCGCTTAATGGTTTGTTTAGCAAAGCAGAGCTTGAATCTGTAGGAGAAAGTGAACTCACGAAGTTTGTATATTCTTTCTTCAACATTGTTTTGTTTCTATTGTAATTTATTCACAAAAACTTCGTATTTGCATTGCGATATGTCAAATGTGAATAGTATTATGTAATTATTTTTAAATAATGCGCAAACTATTAAACTGACTTCATAGTTTGTGTCAAAAGCATATTAAAGTATAAACCACTTCTACTATTTTGTGTAACAATGTTTTGTTATTAATTAATATGTAAATAAAGTAACTTAGTAACATAGATAAATATATATCATATATATGTAGCAAGCTACTTAGTAATCAAATTCGTATCTGTCTTATATATAAAGGTTAAACGTAGTGATTATATTGTCTTTGGTAGGTATGGGAAAAAATATCGATATATCGATATTTTTTATAACATATATCGTCGATATTTTAAATCGCGATATATCGATATTTATTTTAAAGTATCGAATTCTATCAATTTCGATATATTTTAAAATGTTGTATCGTTCTTTTCGTCGTCCAACCGTCAGTAGAGAAAATTTTAGACCTTATCTTAACATCATTCAAATGATGACGATATATCGATATTTATCACGCGATATATATCGATACTGATTAAAAATATATATTCGATATATATCGATATAAATTTTCCCTTTGCCCATCCCTATATAAAGGTACTCTGTGCTCTCCAGTATTATATATTAGTCTATGCTCTGTGCCGTCTTATGTCAAAGCAGTTTTAAACATAGATAAATATATATGTAGCAAGCTATTTTAAAGGCTCAGAAGGGCTGGAACCCAGAGCCGTAAAGCCAGTTTAAAAAAAGCAGTTTTAAACATAGACAAATAGATGTATAGGTATGTAGAAAGCATAGACTTAGGTAGAAAGCATAGACATAGTATCTTATAAACTAAGCATTCAGTGACGTCATCTGCGCGTGAAAGGAATGCACGTATATAGTTAGACATAAGAGTAAGGGAGAAGCAAAACAAAATTTCTTGTCTTTTTCTAAGTATACGTTTTTGATTGTTTTCCCTCCTTTATTTGACATTAACGTTGTCAAGCGTTTGTGATTATCATTAATATTATAAGCAAACAGGTAATTGAATTCAGTGTTTTTCGTGGGTTTTAGTTATTAAGTAAGGTGAAAAAGATGGTAAGTTGTAGCATTTTAGGATGCAATAGCATCAGTCAACGAAAAATTGATAATATTACCTTTCATCGGTAAGTTTGTTTTGTGCTTACATTTGCTATTTGTACTGATTAATATCTGTTGTTTTGAATATAAAGTGTCACATTTCATATTTTTAATGAACTTTGTGATGTATTTTGTCAAATATTTCAACTCCCAAATTGTAAATTCTTCATGATAATAATCCTTAATTTGAATGGTCATTGCAAAGCTTAAAGTCATAACAAATGTGTACTTTTTGACTTGGTAGGATTATGGAAACTTTAGGGATATCATCGAGTACAATAATGTTTTCCCATTTTTCAATAATAATTATTATTGTGATTAGTAGTTATGTACATAAATATGAATCACATAATGTTATACATATGCATACACTTTTATGTTCAACTTTAAAGGAAACTCTCCTTATTGGGCAATAATATACAACTCTTCAATCATTTTCTGTATTAATAGATGTCACAAATAATATGTAATTATCAACCTGAAAACATGTTTGGGTTCAAGTACATAAGTATTGGACAAAGTATATTTAATTTCACAAAATATGTATTGCCTGAAATCACATGCACAAAACTTTATTGTATTCCATTAATTCTATCATACATTAGCAACAATTACATTACAATATTTATTAAAAAATAACTAAATATGTCATACTTATATAAATATAGATAAAATAATAAATAAATAAATAAGTCTTAATCTTAAGGTACACAATAACACAACAACATAAGATAATATTCTCAATTAATGATGTAGAAAAAAATTGATGATAATATATTTACCGTTACTATTAGTCGTTATCAAAAGTCACAAGTTATAGGTTTTATGATTGTTGTCTAGCTTGGCAGGAGGATTGGCAACTGCAGTTATTTTGCAGACAAACTATGTGGGAGGTCTCTGTTCTGTGGAGGACATTTTTAAGCTAATTAACAATATCTAAAGCTTAATATGTACATTTTTTTTAAATGTTTGGTATGAATAATATTATAATTACATTTACATATACCTGCTATTTATTAAATCAATTGATATTGTATTAATTGTTATAGGTATTGGTAAGTGAACGGCAGGGTCGGGAAGGGACGCCCTAGACGAAGGTTTATCGACCAAATCGGCGATACATTAAAAATGGGCCAGATTAGGAGTACCCTTAACCGACGAGCGTGTATGCGTAGATATATGGATGTAAAAGAGGCGAGAGAGGTGTGTCAGGATCGTGCCAAATGGAAGTCCGTAGTCTCTGCCTACCCCTCTGGGTGACAGGCGTGAGTGTTTATGTATGTATGTATGTATGTAGGTATTGTATTTATACACAGATACTCATACTTGATTTTTTAAAAATACCTTGATATAAAAGTGTACTATATATTTAATATATTAATTTCTTTTAAATATATTATTTTACAGCTTTCCTAAAGAATCAGCTATCCGTAATTGCTGGATAATCGCTACTGTTGGTGATTATAGATAACCAACAAAACTTAGCAGTGTATGCTCAAAACATTTTGAGCCTCATTGTTTTAGGCGGACTAAATATGCTTAATTTATGTAATTTATAATATAATTAAGATAAAATATTTAAAATGTTATAATTTATTGTTGTCTTGTTGTTTCCCCATAAGTGATATAAGTTTGACCTTGTTGGTAATTATGATTTTTTACATTGTGCTGTATGTATTAAAAATTGAATAGCATTGCTTAATTTATTTATGGTTCTTGACTTTTTATTTTCAAATTTCTCTGTTATCATTGTGTATTATTATGACTTGTAATAATTTTATTGTAATTTATATTAATTTTCTTTGTGTAATTTGATTGCATGACAATGACAAAATATTTAATTATAGATAGATTGATTAAACATAAATTCTCATTTACAAATGTAGGAACTTTATCTGTACTACCATGTTTTATGCAAGTAAAGATTTAAATAAAATAAATAAATAATTTTAAGTCCTGACTTAAATATACAAATGAATAATTTATTATGCAATAATAATTGTAAAACTGACTGGAAATTCCTACCAACGAGATATTTAGTCCCCCCTTAATCCTTTTTATAAAGGTGTTATAAACAATAATGTGGAAATAAATAATTTATTAATAATAATTTCCATTTAATTGACATAAATAATGTAATAAAGATGTTTTTGACAAGAGATAGGTATTACCTATGTAAGTATAGTTTAGGAGTTGTACCTTATTATTTATACCACTAAAATATATTATATACAAGGCATATAATATATATATGTATATATATATATATATATATATATACTGCCTTCTAATCAGATTTTAACAACCAGCACCAAAGAGTTTCTGCCATGCAAAATTATAAATCAAGTTTATAAATGCAAATTTTTGAGAAATTCTAAAGAATTACAACGAATGCTCTAGAAAGAAGATAAAAATTTTGTTGTTTATTAATGTGATAAAAAATTAATAATTTTAATTTTATTGGATTATATTTAATAATATAATTGTATTTTCATTTGTTTTACCTAATGTAACATTGTTAATATTTCTAAATTTTGTGTAAGTACACACAATTTAGTCCTTTTTCCTTTACAGTCTATCTAAAGTCCACTGCTGAACATAAACATGAACATAGTTATTTGCCATAGTTGCTTCGCTTGGCAACCACTGTTTTTTTTATATTTAGCTGTTCATCAGGAAAATGCTGCCGTTAATCTTCTTAGTTTTATTCTTGTGTTTATTTTAAGTTTTCATCAGGAAAGTGCTGCTGCCCCATCCCCATCTTGTATTATTGCTTACGACGCGGGGGGAGTATCATCCCGTGTATAGACAAATTCTCTTGTATGCCACAACTTGCTGCACACAAGCCACTAACCTTAGTAAGACATGCAGGAAATCGAGCAGTTGGCTCACAACCGTGTTTTGTACTACAAAACCTAAGTGGAAATCTTTTCCTTTCGGAGGTCTGTGTTCAGCACTGAACTTGTGATGGACTCGTATGTTAAAACATTATTGACTTTTAACAACATAAAATTCGACACGAGGAAAGTTTTGATAATTAATTACCTAATATTTAAGTACATATTTTTCATACTCCTACTTATTAGCGATATCACACTTTGTGCGTTTTCACTTAGTGCCGTCGAAATCCAAAGAGTTTATTAAATGTGGAGTAAAGTCGTCGATGCGCCGTTGAATTCGGAATGATGATTCTGTTTTTACGCCGTTTCCGCCCGTAGTTTTTGTCACAGAATGTATTTTCAAGATAAATGGATTAATCATCCTAATTATAAAGGAACATTTTTTTATGGTTACAAATAAGTTTTTTGTATGAATTAAGTGCTGTGAATATAAATAAACCCAGATTGGGGGAAATGGAATAATATCTGGTAACCCAGGGAAAGTACCTCCCGCCTATTTCTATCTCAAAAGCATACGCGAATGCTTTATCTAGTCAATCCTCTATCTACGGTAGAAAGTCAGTTTTAAAGTTTTTTTATAACTGGCTTTACGGCTCTGGGTTCCAGCCCTTCTGAGCCTGAAGTTACAATGTATAATTATCCTTCATAGTATACTGCTTCACAATATGTTGATGCGTCACATTGTGCTGCCCTTAGGAGATTTTGACGGCAACTTGAGCCAGCAGACAGCTGATAGTTGGTGATGGTATCTCAAAGCGCCTAAGCAAACAGACACCTAATCTTGAGAATCACATCACCATCAGAGTACTTATTTCATCGTTTCCACTAATAGTTCCCATGCGCAGACACTTAATTAACAAAATCGCACCACCTTTACATATCAAAATCCACACCATTATTTAAACGATAATACAGGAGCAGCAAACCCCCGCCGGTCAAGTTCCCGC